GACCGGATGTGTCTGGTCGGTGCAGGATCTGCCTAATGGGGTAGGAGGTGAGGACAGTGACCGAGTATTCTAGAAAATACGGCCTCAGTTTCCGGGCGGCCGTTACGAAGGCGAAGGCGAGATTTTCCAACATGCACGCGGTATGTCAGAGTACGGTCGGGCAGCTGGGGCAGCCAACTCATCAAATCCGGGCAGCCTTTAGGTCAGGTATCTCACCCCTATATAAGTGGGGGTGAGCCTTTCTTCCTTAACACACAATTTCCATTATAATACTCAAACATACACATACTTACTTAAGCATCGGAGGCTCTTCACCGGAGAACCCCCCCGGTGTGAGAGTTGTTTGCAGGTTTCCGGCGTTCTACCGGCAAGGACGAGAGGCGATCTATTCTAAACCGGCCAGGACGCTCACACTTGCATTAATCATACTTATATATAATAAAATAATTTTATATTTCATAAAGTTAGAAAATAATACATTTTTTTTGTAAATTAATATTCTAAATTCTTAAATTAAAATACTTACAAAATTGATAAACGAGAGACACTGACTTTGTAACATCCCGACTAAACTTACTAAAATCAGAGTAAACTTTTCACGCTATAAATGGAAAACACTGACTTAATTTTTGGAAACTCTTATTAATTTTTCGAAAATACTTTAACTTTAATCTACAGGATGCTAATCGACTGAACTAAATTCTCATTGCTGTTCTCACTTACTATTATCCATGCAATCGGGATATAATTCTTTACTCTAATAAAGCGCCATGAAAAATCTTAGGATTTAAGCAGACATAAACTGGAATATACAGAAATATTGAGTGCGGAAGCAAATGCAAACATGCATCAACAAAATATAATAACTCAAGCATGTTCAAATATACATGACATGTTTACTCAAAAATATCCTCACTATGACCACCACCATATCATCGGCTCAGGCTCTACGCTCGACACCGTCGCCTGAAAAAATGGTTAGTGGGGGGCGTGAGCATAAATGAATCAACGATGCTCCGCTGGAACCGACACTGAAATATACAGTTAATATAATAACATGTTATTACATCGGCATATACAAGTACTTACTGGATCGGCAGAAACGATGCTATGATAAGGATTTACTTACGAATCGCGAATTAAACGTTCGTCCAATAAATATATAACTGAGTAAACTATCTATAGTTGCTACTTAACTGGCTGACTATAACTGTTGCTCGACTAACTGACTGTAATTGTTGCTCGACTGACTGACTATAATTGTTGCTCGACTGACTGACTATAATTGTTGCTCGGCTGACTGACTATAACTGTTGCTCGGTTGACTGACTATAACTACAACATCGCGAATCAAACATACCTCTGATATGATAAGTACATCACAAACTAAGCATACATCTAATATGATAAATCACATCACAAACTAAGCATACATCTCATATGATAAAACACATAAAAAAAGGTGTACAAATAACTGTCTATAATTATTGCTCAATTTACTATCTATAACTGCTGCTCAACTGAATATCTATAATTGCTGCTCAACTGACTGTCTATAATTGCTGCTCAACTGACTGCTTAACTGGCGAGAAGGATACTTGGCCTTCACGCTTGCGATAAGCAACTGTAGAACCTAATATGTAGGTCGTTGCCCATACTAGAGCAAAACTAACTCTTATGCACTTCTAAGGTTGGAGCTTAACTCACACTGCACTAGAGTCCTGTTGAGTTCTATTAGGAACGTTGGCAATGTACACATTGAAATCTATTGAATACTAAATCCTAACAGAGCGGAATCTATAGTTAGGATTAGGACTTACAATTTAAATTTTTTTGCCGACTCTTAGACGTTTCTGATTTTCGTTGATGGAGATTGTCTGAACACCAAAGTCCAATGGGTAGCTGGACTTGGCCTTTCTCGATCCTAATCGAGCCATCAGAATCATCGAATTGTCTCGGACATTCGACAAGTGAATCGGACTCCTCGGACCGCTCGAAAACCATCTCGGGTGCGAATCGGGCTTACTAGGTCGGGCTGAATTGGGTCGGACTGGTCTGGAACGGGTCTGGGCTGGTTTAGGTCAGATCTGGTCGCTGGGCATGGGGACTGGCTTGCTGGCCGCGGACTGCTCGCACTTGGTAGCTACTGCACGCGTGCAGGTGCAGGGGCGCGCAGAAAGCACGGGCAAGGACGTCGCATGGCCCAGTTCACTAAGCCTCACCCATGTGAATCAAAGTAATAAGTACTACACATATATGCATGTTTAATATCTTACGGTTAAGAGCACGCAGTAATTAACCGAGGCCTAGTTCGTTTACGATGATCAGTATAAAACGAACTGCTCCTCTTTGGGATCCTGTTCAATACATAAATGTACTAGTGCAACTAATCAGCCAAGACAAACTGTACAGTTGACACTACAACTGTTTCGATGGGGTGTTCATGTCCAACTAGGTTGTGAACCATTAATTCTTGTTTTGCGAGTAACTGATAGCATGATCTTAGGTTCGCCCGATGATGACCCACACTATCTAATGTAAAACATCAGAACATAGAACTTGTTTAATCTAAGATGTTTTTCATTCGTAAAGGGTAAAAGTGTACTATCATTCAAAGCCAAGCTTTCTGCTGTTTTGCTGAGGACAACTTTAGTACTTGGTGGTGGCAGGTGTGTTGTATTGATAAAACTAAGGTAGCTGAGGCCCGTATACAACTCTCCACTTATCTCTTGTGGTGGTTGTGGAAGTCACGAAATCTTTGGCTATTCCAAAAAACTCTCATCCCTGTTCCAGCTCTGATCAAGTCTGCTATAAAGGGTTGGGAGAAATTCTCTGCTGCCTCCTGTTAGCATCTCCTTTGTTGGGTCTTTGATTTGTTTTTCTGCTTTTATTTGTTGTTTCTTCCTCTTTTAAGTTTCCCCACTGCTTTCTGTGTAGCTAGTGTATGGGGTTAGTTTTCTGTATTAGTCTTGGGCTGTGATACGGGATGCTGTCTTTTGGTTTAGTTGGTCTTCTTAGTAGTTTGGTACCCGTCTGTGGGTTGTCTAGGCCGCTTTTTAGCGAGTCCTCTCAATTTTATTTTTCGGCTGTTGGCCCCGCATGTATCTGAACGATGTTTCTCCTTTTGAGTAGTTATATATTGCCTCACTTGTTTCGAAAAAAAAGACTACAAATATCTATATTTTCTATTGCAATCATACAATAATAAGAAAATATTTTTTCGGATACTACAAAGATACATCAAATGTTTTGAAAAATCAAAACCCATGAAATAAAACTCTTCATTGCTCTTGCAAAATAATCATGCAATATATTTAAAAATTATAATATTATATGCATAAATATAATTTATGTTTAAAATTTAATATCATCATCTAACTTATAATTTTAATATTATATGCATATAAATCATAGTTTTAAAACCTGGCTCGAAAATAAACCCGGGCAGGTCTTCGGGTTACCTGGTCAATTGTTGAACCGAATAATTAATTTTAAAAATTTTTAAATTTTAAATATAGTATTTTGACATATAAATATACATAAAAGTAACAAAAATAAATGTATTGTATATAAAATTTGTACATCAAAGTATTAAAAGAATTGTATCTCACAATATATATTTAATATATCAATATATTTACATAGTTTTTATATTTTTATATAAAAATATTGAAAAAATAAATAATATATATATGGGCTAGGTCAACGGGTTCCCGGTCGGGTCAATTACACAGGTCAACCGAGTCGAGGCCGGGTTAGCCGGATTTTGACCGGGTTTAACCAGGTCCATTGTTACCTGGTCCAAATAGCTCATTCGGACCGATTCCAGCTCCGGATTGACCGAATCCCAGGTCGACCCGCGGACCGAACCAGGTTGTAAAACAATGAAATAAATAAGTTATAATATTTTTATTTATATATGCTCGAATACTAGTTTTGTCTTCATATCGGGTAAAATAAAAATAGGTATGTCAGTTTCTCCTACTTAATTCTGGAGTAATGCTCCCATACCCACGGTGGACACGTGTTAATATACCCACCGCTTACGTGTCATGCACACATTGGTGATGTTAATATGTTTAAAAAAATACACCACCAATGTGTGCATGACACATAAGCGGTGACATATTAACATGTGCCCACCTTAGGTAGGAGAACATTCCTCCTTAATTCTGAGGGCAGTCTTGTCATTTGTTACAACCATTAAATCGGTCGGCTCATACTCGTCGTCTTCTTTTCTTCTTCTTCTTTCACCCAGGTCCAAGTGTACTCTCTCTCACACACCCTCGCTCACACACAAACACACGATATAACCGCCCTGCTATACTTTGCCTTCCCTCATATTTGTACATGTGGAGCTAGGGTTTCTACTCGACAAGATACATTCGCGATCGCCCTCCGGAAATCCTCTGCCGCTTCTTTCAGGTGAGATTTTTATCCCAGCATCTCTTCCTGTGTCTTACGACGCCTCTGAATAGTGCTGTTAAAATTTGTTGGGTATATTTGTTCATTTTTTTTTTCTTCGCTTTTCATCGGATATATGTTTTAACCTTCTGTGTAATCTGTTTTTTTTTTTTTTTTTTTTTTTTTTTTTTTTTTTTTTT